TTCAACATCATCTCCCACAGATCTTCCACCTTCTGATCCTTCTCATCTCTGAAAAGCAGACAAGCCTTCTTCCAGGCCTCCAACTCGGACTCCAAAAACAACTCCAAAGAAAATGACATATCATCCAACCTATAATCATCCTGGAGACCCACTATAGTACTGTAGACATCTGCCACCTCATCTGCCAACTCATCCATATAATTCATCAACTTGCATATTAACTTTGAAAGCTGGTGGAGACCAGCAGAGATCTCCACACTGCTGATCACCTCACTTGCTGTGACATCCTTGTTGAATGAACAGATGGTTTTCTTGATCTTGCAGTGAGAGCAAGTCTGCTCTTGACTAATGCCTTTGGTTACCAGTCATGCATAACATCATGCACCATCTTGATGACAGTGCACACAACTCCCTGAAACCAAAAGCTAAGTTAAGCCATGAAAGAAAACCAAGACACTTACTCTTGCCATCCAACAATTTCTCACCCTCCACTGGTCCTGCCACTTCTAACTTTGCCTGCTTTTTCAGACTAATGATCACCTCTGTCTCACTGTCATCCACTATGCTCCTCGACCTGAACTTGCATTTGTGGCCCTTCTCTGCCAGACCCACTGCCCTCCTCTTCCCCTTCTGCATCCTCTTCCTCCTCTCCAGGGTCCTCTCAGATTCCTCAGACTCATTGTCCCTCTCAGTCTCCTTCACCTGCTCATCATCAGACTCTAGAGGCATATAGCAAGTCACCTTTTGAAAGCAAAGACCAGGGCTAGGACCATACTGTTCTGCTAACACTTGATGCAGCCAAAAATCAATGGCCTCTGTGGGAGTCATCAGCAACCCATCCTCTATAACCATCCTCTCCAGCTCTACCTCCTCAGCCTCAGCCCTTGCCACTGCCTCCATGGCCTCCCTCTCCTCAGCCTCCCTCTGAGCTGCCTCTCTCAACACCTCCTCTGCCTTCTTAGCCCACCTCTCCATGGCTTGCTGAACCTCCTTCCTCTTCCTCTCCAATTCCTCCTTCTGCTCCTTTTTTCATGCTTCCCAGGCCACATGATCTGCTCAGACCTTTTCCTCCTGCTCTTACTCTCTTTGCTATTTCAAATGACTCTCTATAGCCTCTGTATATTCTTCCTCTGTGGCCTCCCATTCTAGATGAAACAATTCCTTGGCCTCTTCAGGGCCATCAGAGGTGGATCCCCTCACCAGAGGCTCAGGAGTGCATGAGCAATGATACATGATGAGCAACAACATAGACAATGATAGTGGTTTCAGATCAAGATACAAAACTCCCATGGCCATCAACAATCTTCCATGTGGCCCCACTGGCCATCAGGATCTGTGCTCTTGAGAGCAAGAATGCTAAGGGGGGGATACTGTTACATGCATGCTGCCAGCCTCTGTGTCACCTCAACCAATCACAAATTCAATCATGCTACCCATCAGACTCTGGCTGCTTCCCATTACCTACTAATTTCATTTCACTATTATCATTTTATATCTATATTTCACATTGTAATATCTAAACCCTGAACTCAGTAGCAAATATTGACACTAGAATCCAATGGAATCTGACTTGAAATTAGCTACTATTAGTATATAAAGCCATGTATATCACCATAACTACTCAGTTTGAATATCAACTTGGATAAGCCATCTACACTTCACACTCACTTCAACTCCTCTCTATCTCATCTGTCAGATCCCACTCCAAAGGATATTTCTGTTTGCTTCTCTGACAGAACTCTATTCTGTCTATCCAGATCCTTAGGCTCTGACTCAAGGATGATGTTGCTAATAGCTTCATCAATGCTCATGCACTCTGTTAGACTCTGCATATGTACTCAAGCTCACTTGATTGGCATGTTCCTAACAGAGCCTCAGAATTCTATTAGATTACTTGAATTATAGAAGTTTCTAGTTTGTCTAGATTATAAATTTTTGTAAAGTATCTTAATAATTATTTATCATTGAGCAGTAAATATAATGACTTTTTGGATTAATATATTGTTTATAATATAATGTTAAAAAATGAATATTTAGAGACTAAAGATAAAGATATAATTAAAAACATTAAATTGAAAATAAATAAAAATCAGACTACTTTTAATTGAATCTATTTGATTTTTATTATATAATAGTTTTATTAATACTTTTTTTATTAATATAAAATAGAGTAAATTGTAAAAATTTCTATCTGATAAGATTATTTGCTGCTCTAAATAAAAAAAAATAGAATCTGTTTTTATAGCTTGCTGCAAACTTGAATTAAGACTTTATTTTAGCTTAGCAGAGCTGCTAAAAAAAGAGAAGTTATTTTTATGGCTTTTTTTTTAATAAAAAAGACTATAATTAAAAAATATAATATTTTTTCTAGGCTGCTTGCTAATAAAATAGAGAAGCTATTTTTAACACCTTTTTTTATTTTTGGTTTTTTTTTCTTTTTAAAAACTGAGAAAACATTTAAAAAAAGGATAAAAATAAAACACTTTTTTTATACACAGTAAAATTCCCAGTTTTAAGAGTTTGGCCAGTGGTCACCACCATTCTCATACAAAATAGACAATTTCTAGCAAAGTCTAATTTAGCAATAATATAAATTCAGATTTTATTAAAAATTAGAAATACTCAATGACTAAAAAGTGAGTATTGTTGATAATATTCTTTTTATAAAAACTCTATAAAATATAAATTTGAAAATATAGGTCTAAACTTATCAGAGATAATAAGAAGTTATATATAAATTTAATAACAATAAAATTAATGGCAAAGAATAAAAG